AAAAACCATTTGGTCTAAAGAATAATTTTCCTTCACCTGCCAAAACACAGAAAACTGTCTGAAGATACACTGATGGCTGCACATGTGGCCCCAGGGACATAGATTGGGCAGCAGGGACTTTCAGACAGTTCAGAACAAGATGGAAATCACAGACAGAAGCCACTAGGAACTTCTACACTACACTTTCACTTTCATTTTCTAGACAGGCAAAAAGGTGACATTAGGTGAATGGGAGATTCTTTGCCTAGCCCACAGCCAACTCCTCCCTTCCACTACATCGCGTATCTCTGTATACCACACCTAATCCTTTCGTCACACACTGTGTACTCTTCCCTCCTGCAGACCATGTTCCACATGTAAATATCAGTGTAAAGTTGTGACCTAAGACTCACAATACACGTTACAGTCTGTTTATGCAATTTCTGTACAATCAACTTTAAATCTACCAAGTAGATACAAACTGTAGACCAAAGTATGGGAATTTAAAGGTGCTGAACACTTTAACAGCTAAAGGAAATTCACACAAACTGAAGATAAATCCAATAGATTTATTATACAATATTTAGAAATCAGGCATACTTCCAAATGCTGTGAATATGAATATGCTAATACCAATATTCCCAAAAGTAACTATCACACAAATATATTAAAAAAAGAATAGGAAGTACAATTAAAATAAATATAATATTATAAAAAGTCACTCTGTGCCAACTTCAATCATCAATCTTCATATTCAGCCTTTCAATGGCTCACAAAGAAACCTGTGAAACACTGTGTTCACATCTATGGTGTAATGAGTGAATACCCTTACCAAAAATATGTAAATAATATGCCTTTACACCTCCCGGCGAGGGTATTAACACAAATTCTGCTTCAACCCAAGGATCATCACAGCCTCATGGATCAGATCAAGATGTCATCCAGATATAGCAGCTTTCAAGTATGATCAATAATCTCCACCAATCCACCGATCCCCACCATATATAGAATAAATCATAGTGTAAACCCGCATATACAATTTAAAATACTTTTTTGAATATGCTTACATCATGATTCCTCTTTAAAATAGCCTTTATCAGAATATCCAAACCTCTCAGAGTTCCCCAAATACTTCCAAATACAATACTTCCAAATGCAGTGTCTGTCAGTGTCTGTCCACATATGTAGCAAAAATTCCCTGTGTGTAACCCTTCCCACGTGGCATCTACACTCACTGGCCACTTTATTAGGTACACCTTTCTAGTATGGGGTCGGACCCCCTTTTTCCTTCAGAACTGTCTTAATCCTTCATGGTGTAGATTCAACAAGATGTTCGAAACATTCCTCAGAGATTTTGGTCCATATTGATATGAGTTACTGTTGCCTTTCTATCATCTCAAACCAGTCTGTCTATTCTCCTCTGACCTCAGACATCAACAAGGCATTGTCCACACAATTGCCACTCACTGGATTATTTTTCTTTTTCGGACCATTCTCTGTAAACCCTAGAGATGGTTATGAGTGAAAATCCCAGTAGATCAGCAGTTTTTGAAATACTCAGACCAGCTCGTCTGGCACCAATAACCATGCCCCATTCAAAGTCACTTAAATTTCCTTTCTTCCCCATTCTGATGCTCGGTTTGAACCTCAGCATGTCATCTTCACCATTTCTACATGCCTAAATGCATTGAGTTGCTGCCGTGCAATTTGTGTTACTAAGCAATTGGTGTACCTAATAAAGTTGCCAGTGAATGTATATAACACACTTTATAGTATAGGCAACATCAAATTGGTGTCCTTAGAAATACAGATAGAAAACAGTGAGAGGTGGGAGGGTATATCTCTCAACTTGTTTTGCAAAATGTAGCTTCTTCAGGAGTACAGGGTACTAATAAACAAAGAAACAGAACCTATATCCTGGAAGTGATGGCTTGGCCCCCGCAGAGCCCTGATCTCAACATCATGGAGTCTGTCTAGGATTACAAGGATAGACAGAAGGATTTGAGGCAGCCTACATCCACAGATCTTCTGTGGTTAGTTCTCCAACCAAGATGTTTGAAACAACCTACCTGCCAAGTTCCTTCAAAAAAAACTGTGTAAGTGTACCAAGAAGAACTGATGCTGTCTTGAAGGCAAAGTGTAATCTCACCAAATATTGATTTGATTTGGATTTCTCTTCTAATCATTTCCTTTTTTTTAACTAATTTTGTACTTGATAAAAACAAACAATTAACACTTCTATTCATGACAGCTTTCTTAGTTTACCTAAAACTTGTGCACAGTACTAAAAAATATATATATATATATATATATATATATATATATATATATATATATACACTATACACTATACACATACATACATACAAACAGTATATTGTTTTGTTGATAACTGTTGCTTCCAAAATCATGGACTCTAAAGCTTAAAAAATCATTAAAGTATTTGTAAACTCTTTCATATACCCAGTGAAGTGACTGGCCTCAGGTAATACACAGAGGTGAAACAAAAACTCCTACATAAGTTGTACCTATTTATCTGCAGTCTGCTCTATATACATTCAAAGTGCTGAATTTATACAGCTTGTATAAGAATTGAGAAAAAAAGGGGTGGAGAGTTGAAGTTACTCCAGAGCTCAGTGAGGAGAGCTCTGAGAGTTGATTGGTGGGAAGGGACACACCCCCTCCACCAGGGGAGGACTGACCATTTGGAAACTCGAGCACTGCCCGAGGGCCCAGGGTCAATAGGGGGCCCCATGAGATGCCCCTGGTACCTTTTTCATAGGCTTTTTTGAGTTTGGGCAAGGACACAGGGGCCCCATGATCCCCTATTGCCCAGGGGCCCCATGAGTTGTCAGTCCACCCCTGCCCTCCACACAGCTCACAGGAACAGAGCTGAGGCTTTCAATCTGATGGAGGTACCGCTCCTGTCACCATTTTTCTCTTGGTGTCAGAAAAACTTGTCAGAAGGCAGGCAGAAATGAGGCAGCAGACAGAAATGGAATTTAGTGCTGTGGGTAGTGACAAGTATACACTTCAGAAGGATGTGCTTTGTTCATTTTTCATGTCTGAGGTTTACAACCAATGTAAATCTAAACTTTAGTCTGTTTATATTTTACTTTCCTTGGTTCCTCCATTCCACTTTCAGCAAAATACTAGTGACATTATTACATAAAATATTTTTTTATTCATGACATACCTAGTGTTATACCCAGTAACACTGTCACTAGGTTTCTGTGTTTGTCTATCTGATGCAGGCAGATAATGGCTGGTGGAAGGGGCCAACATAGTGGTTACATAGCTTTCTTAAAAAAAAAAAGGAGTTGTGGTAATGCCCCCATGTGATGCTGAGCCTCTTGTGATTAAAAGAACTGAAATCCATTGAATTTAAGGGGTTGGGGAAGAGGGGGTGCAGTGACTGTAAGGCAGGAGAGAAAAGGGCTAAATGATGCTGGACATCCAGATGTTCCAAGCATCGTCATGCAGGCAATCCCATTGATGTCAATTGGGACACAAAGACTGCATAGACACACAGCTTCTGCTCCCAATTTGACATTCGGTTGGGTGAGAGTGCATGTCTCTGAACTCACGTAGTGTGCATTCAAGACCATGCACCTGCATGGATGTCAAAGTGGAAGCAGCGGCTGTGTCCAGATGCACCTTGTTTGCTCACCATCTCTCTGATAAATGAATCTGGAAGCAACCAGAATTTCAAAATTTCCACTTTCAGAGCTGCCATTCCCTGAGGAGAAGCTAATCAAGGACAATTTGTGTTTGCTCAGCTTCACTGGAGTGCAGAGGTGACATTAGGGGTCTAACAGACCCCTGATGCATCCTTAAAGAGAACCTGTCACCAGGTATTCTGCTATCATATAGGTAGGATGACATATATAATGTAGGCTACTCCTTTTGCTGGTTATAACCACCTTTTTTGTTGCAGCTCACTCAGCTTTTTAAATTCTTTTGTCACGTTACGTATATACAAACATATAAATCAGGTGTACATTTTTCATGTGTCTTTTCCCTTTTTGGGATCCTGTGTTAGTTGTTGTAGCAGTCATTAAAGCAGTATTAAACCAAAACCAAAAGATTTAATATATTGCAGCTTATCAATCATTAGATGTGATGGCTGCATTAGTTTTCCTTTTGTGGGCTTTTATTCCTCTGTTTTCACCTGGTGATCTGGTCAGTAACACACCTCCTGTATTAGATCTGCCCCACCCTGGATGAAGAAGCACAAGGGGCACCTTTGGACAGCAGCATTATCAGCCTGGGGCAGGGGAGTGTAAGAAGTACTAGCAGATTTAAAGACAATAGAAAATTTAAGTCAAACTCCAACTAATACTTTATAAACAGTTATAGAAAACTTTTTTTTTCTTTTTGGGAAAAAGGTTTTACATAAATAAATAAAAGATGACGATTGTAAGTACCCCTGTCAGTATTAAATGGTTTCTCTCATCTCTGTAATTGATACATCTGCAAGAGAGTTTGTTCTTTTGAAAAACAACAGACTTACTGACCAGATCACCAGATGAAAATAAAAGAAAGAAAGCCAAAAAAAAGCCAAAAAAAAAAGAAAACTAATGCAAGCAACACTTTTACAAAATTGTAAGCTGCAATGTAATAAGTGTTGGCTTTTGGGTTTAATACTGCTTGATGTTATGTCAGTTTTCTCACCTGTCTAGAAAGTGAAAACTTTGTAAAAGTTCTCAGCAGTGGCTGTCACCTCCTATGCAATATGAATGAAGGAAACAAGAAATGTGTACACCATTAAAATGAATCTCTTCTTCTGGAGAGGAACAAATAGGGAGAAGCTTCAGATCAACCGATACCAGCACCAGAGACACACAGGAATAACAAGCAGATAAAAGATCTTTCATTACCTGTCTGTGTGCTGTATGACAAACTGCAGACTGATATGACTTTACATGTTGAATAAGGATCCATTTGTATTGAAAGAAACCATCCTGAAAGAGTTAAATTAAACAAATTTAAAGGCCAATTCCACCTAAAACTAGGGGGTCATAGGGCCCCTGTGTCCTTGCCCAAACTCAAAAAAGGTACCAGCGGCATCTCATGGGGCCCCCTACTGACCTTGGGCCCTCGAGCAGTGCCCGAGTTTCCAAATGGTCAGTCCGCCCTTGATAAGGATCCATTTGTATTGAAAGAAACCATCCTGAAAGAGTTATATTAGGCAAATTTAAAGGCCAATTCCACCTAAAACTAGGGGGTCATGGGGCCCCTGTGCTCTTGCCCAAACTCAAAAAAGGTACCAGGGGCATCTCATGGGGCCCCCTACTGACCTCAGTCAGTGCCCGAGTTTCCAAATGGTCAGTCCGCCCCTGATAAGGATCCATTTGTATTGAAAGAAACCATCCTGAAAGTTATATTAGGCAAATTTAAAGGCCAATTCCACCTAAAACTCTGTGCTGTCCCTTCCCTGAGCATTTGTTTTAGTTACTAAACACGTAGTAGATTTACTAAAACTGGGGCACTCAGAATCTGGTGCAGCTGTGCATGGTGGCCAATCAGTTTCTAACTTCAGCTTGTTCAATTAAAGTGTTACTAAACCCACAACAGTAAAATCAGTCTGTATGTGCAGTAAAGCATGCTCGCTATACTCACTGTGGAACCTAAGGGGTTAATCCTCTGCATTGTGTAAAAAGGCTGTTGATCCTGTTTTCTCTGCCCCTCCTCTTGTTCAAATGTCCACCTGATAAGACAGACTGAACCCGTAGCCACATACACATGCTCAGTTTAGTGTGTATTGCTAAAAAGGTTATTTTTTTCTTGGGAGAGTGCATGTGATCAGCACAGGGCCAATCAGCACTGTCCAGACAGAGGGTTAGGGGTTCTGCATCCTCCTAGAGCATAAAGAAAACTCCTCCTACAAGCTTTAACAAGTGTTCTGCTGAAATCACAAGACTGTTCTAACTGCTGATGAGAAAATCTAGCAGTTTTAGCAGTTTACATTTACTAAAATAATTGCATTTCCGTGTTCTGTGTACCGTGGGAGACCAGATATAGTGAATGCAGGGTCCTGGGGTTAGTAACACTTTAAGCTTTGGTGCTAAAACCTGGAAGCTGATTAGTTTCTAGAGCTGCACCAGATTTTGCACTCCCCAGTTTCAGTAAATAACCCCCATACAGTTTTCAAGAAGTCTTTGGTTTGGTCATGTGTCATCATGGGCCATCTTCCTTTTCTTCTTCTTCTTCTAACAGTGGAAGGGTTCTAAATGTAGAAGAGAGAGGCAGCATACAATGACATGGCAGTACAGCATTCTACTGTGAGTCCAGGCACCCCCATACAGTTTTCAAGAAGTCTTTGGTTTGGTCATGTGTCGTCATGGGCCATCTTCCTTTTCTTCTTCTTCTTCTTCTAGCAGTGGAAGGGTTCTAAATGTAGAAGAGAGAGGCAGCATACAATGACATGACAGTACAGCATTCTACTGTGAGTCCAGGCACCCCCATACAGTTTTCCAGA